ATTTTTAGTAGAGATGGGGTTTCACCATGTTAGCCAGGATGGTCTCGATCTCCTCACCTCGTGACCCGCCTGCCCCAGCCTCCCAAAGTGCTGGGATTACAGGCATGAGCCACCACACCCAGCCGGTCTTGAACTCTTCACCTCAGGTGATCCACCCACCTCAGACTCTCGAAGTGCTAGGATCACAGGTATGAGCAACTGCTCCCAGCCTCATCTGGATAATTTTTAAGATTTATTTTTTATAGAAAATAATAATTATAACATCATGAAATGCTTATCAGTACCAGGCACGGTTTACTTGCTTTACAGTTAATCCTCAAATTAATCCTATAGAAACAGCATTAGTATTTCCATTTTACAGATGAAGAAGTGAGTTTCACTTGCCTCAAATAGCTAGCACATGGGAGTGATGGAAAATCAACTCTCTGTTATCATACATGTCACAAAAGTTTTTCTCCCTGGTAGCATTATTTATAAAATATTTTTATTTTCTGACTAGTCGATACTAGATCTTGGCCCAGTGTGGTGGTTCACACCTGTAATCCCAGCACTTTGGGAGGCAGAGGAGGGTGGATCACCTGAAGTCAGGAGTTCAAGACCAACCTGGCCAAGATGGTGAAATCCCATCTCTACTTAAGATACAAAAAAACTAGCCAGGGGTGTGGCAGGCACCTGTAATCCCAGCTACTCAGGAGGCTGAGGCAGAAGAATTGCTTGAACCCGGGAGGCAGAGGTGGCAGTGAGCCGAGATCGCGCCATTGCACTCCGCCTGGGTGACAGAGTGAGGCTGCACCTAAAAAAAAAAACCCCAAAACCACAAAACAAATTCAAAACCAAGATCTTTTCTCCAGTGAAATGTTAACTACATTGGTAAACTCTCTCAGGATTTAAATGCAAGAAACCAGGAAGAAAATTACTGGGAACTTTAATTTGGAAAACCCAGATACTAGCTTTGTCCTTTCTGGTAGGATTTTTATTCTACTTCACTATCATGAAATTTACACTGCAGACTTCAAATTTTCTTCATCACTATAGGCCTAGCAGTTTGGTATTAAGTCTTGAGAATTCTGGCTAGGGAACTGCCTCATAGGAAAGGCAATGAAATAAAATATTATCAGTATCTTCAAACACTGCTTGAGGCTCTTGTTTTTAGTAAGGAAAAGTCAATGAAGAAAAATTACAGACGCAATGGCTCATGCCTGTAATCCTTGCACTTTGGGAGGTCAAGATGAGAGGATCATCTGAGGCCAGGAGTTGAAGGCTGCAGTGAGCTATGATTGAGCCACTGTATTCCAGCCTGGGTGACAGAGATAAATAGGGTGAGATTTAAATTAGTTAAATGTATATACATGTTCAAGGGAGGTAAATCAATCACCTAGGAAAGTAAAGCAAGAGACTGGCAGTAAACACATGCTTGAAGAGCTTATGAATGCCCACGCCTGGCATGGTGAATTTCTCTGGTCCCTAAAATGTACCCTGAGACAGGTTAATTCCAATTATTAAATGTAGACAATTAACTGCCCCTGTTCTGACTTCCAGGTTCACTAGGCAGTTTCCATTACAACCTGGCTTCGCATGCAGAAGTGCCTGCTGGAAAACCATGTGCTAGTTTAGCTAGAATGTGCTGGCCCCACAAGAACATGAGCTCCACAAGGAGCTTTGTTTTGTTTTCCGATGAACCCCAAGCATCTGGAACATTACCAGACACATAAAAGGTGCTCAAAAAATATTTGTCTGACTAAAAGACTGAATAATATGAGCAACCTGACTCCTGTGAAAGGACAGTCTTCATTTTTAATTAGTAACTGAGCAAAATTGGAGTTTACTCTCGAAATTAAATTTGAATTTACAAAGCTCAAACCATGGTAAATTCACCAGAGTGAATTTTTGTGAGGCCTCTTACCGCTTTTTTTTTTTTTTTTTAATTTTGTTGTTTTTCTTTGTGTGTGTGTGTGTGCATGCGTGTGTTTTTGAGACAGGGTCTTGCTCTGTACCCTAAGCTGGAATGCAGTGGCATGATCATAGCTCACTGCAGCCTTGAATTCCTGGGCTCAAGGGATCCTCCTGCATCAGCCTTTTGTGTAGCTGGGACCACAGCCATGCACCACCATGCCTGGCTAATTTTTTAAATTTTTTGGTAGAGATGGGATCTTGCTACATTGCCCAGGCTGGTCTCAAACTCCTGGCCTCAGCAATCCTTCCACTTCAACCTCCAAAGGTGTTGGGATTACAGGCATGAGCTACCATGCCCAGCTCATCTTACCCTTTTTAAAAATCTAACAGATACACAACAGCACTTCCTATATGCCAGATGCTCTTTCTAAGCACTTTATAAAACATTAACTCAATTAGTGCTCACAACAATCCTATGACATAGATACAATTATTACTCACATTTTAAAGATAAGGAAATTGGGGCACAGAGAGGTTAACCAACTCACCCAAGGTCACCTAGTGACTGGCAGAGTCAGAATTTGAACTTAGACAAGTCTAGCTCTAGAGTACACACTCTCAACCACATGTTATGCTATGTCCCATCAACCAGGGGATCTGCCCTCGTAACATTCTGACCTCACCAAACATTTTCCCTGTGAAATGTTAATACCATGTACCTCAAATGTATTTTTTGTCACACCGGCAAGCCCAAAGTACATCATGCCTCCAGTTCTGGAGCTAACACAGATTTCTCCAATTTCATCTGTTTTGCAGAGCTGGGGAGGTCCATCTGGTTTCACAATGCACATCATCCCTAATGTACAGAAAATACAGGTTAAGGGACAAAGATTCTAGAAAACCTTTGTAAAATAACAACTCCATCCTGTGAACCCAAGAAAGTCTTGCCTTTACTGAGTGGCATTAAGTAAAAATACCAAACAGGAATGCTAAACATAAACCTGAAACTACATAAGTATATTTGAAATGTAAAGCTTGTATAGACAGCGACATATTAAAGATGAATGCAAAGCCCAAATAAACAGGTTAGATGAATGAGGTGTTACCCTTAGGCAGGTCAAACTCAAAACACTCATGGAAGCAGTATGCTCTAATTTTCTGTCAGTCCCAATGGCTTGGCAATCACAGTGAAAACCAGATAACTTTAATATCTCTAGTATTTGGCCTTCCAGGTAAAGAAGTGGACCTGAAGCATTCACAATTGGTAAGTCATACAATACTGCAGGAAGGTTGGCATAATTATGATGACTTAACTATTAGAGAGGCTCTGAGAAATTAAATGAGTTAAGTACTGAATTAAGGAGTCCTGGTTTGAGATTCTGTATTTTATCAGGCTCTATTATCTCTGATGACAAATCTTTATGAAAAACCAAATGGTGCTCCTCACAACTCACCACCAGGCATTACATGCCCCACATCCTGGACTGTCAGTGCTGAATTTTTATCTTCAGTATTGACCCGTATTACCCCATAGCTCAATCCATTCATTGAGAGAATGGCTCTTCCTGGCAAAGGGGCTCCTGGAACTCCAGGCCTGAAAAGAAAAACCCATCAAGTTTGGTGAATGAAATAACATCAAGAGAAAAATACAAATACATAGGAAGATAAATTTCCTCTGGCTACAATACCAAAAAAATTCTCCATTTTCTCTCCCAAAAATATGCCAAATTAGAGCTGGGTGTGGTGTCTCACACCTGTGATCCCAGCAACCGCTGAGGCAGGAGGATTGCTTGAGGCCAGGAGTTCAAGACCAGCTTGGGCAACATAGTGGGACCCCATTTCTACAAAAAATACAAAAATTAGCTGGGTATGATGGCACACACCTGTAGTCCCAGCTACTTGGGAGGCTAAGGTGGGAGAATCATCTGAGTCTGGGAGGTTGAGGCTACAATGAACTATGATCATGTCACTGTGCTCCAGCCTGGATAACAGAGGAGGACCCCATCTCTAAAAAATTAAATTTAAAAAAAGTGTAGTGTAGTAAACACATAAACCAGCAACATGGTCACTTATTATCATCATCATCAAGTATTGCGTACTGGGCCAGGCTCGGTGGCTTATGCTTGCAACCCCAGCACTTTGGAAGGCCAAGGAAGGAGGACTGCTCAAAGCCAGTAATTTGAGACCAGCCTGGGCAACATAACAAGAACCTATCTCTACAAAAAAATTTAAAAATTAGCCAGGCTTGGGGGTACACGCCTGTAGTCCTAGCTACTCAGGAAGTTGAGGCAGGAGGACTGTTTGAGCCCAGGAGGTTGAGGCTGCAGTGAGCCATCATTATGCCACTGCACTCCAGCCTGGGTGACAAAGAGGGACGCTATCTAAAAAAAAAAAGTATATCTATATACACACACATACATTCACTGATACTTACATATATAATAGTCTTGAGTATACTATAGATACACTATCCATACTTAAGCTACAAACAGGAACAGTCTATTTCTAATCTAAGGTGCTATGGATTCCGAAGAGCAAAATGGCACAGAAAAAGAGCTAATTCACAAATACAAAATTATATTAAATTTTTCAGTTTACTACATACACTTTGAGCAAGAGTGGGAAAAATGAGACGCTTGAAACTACTCAGAAAATTAGTTAACACCCCTTTGTCATCTCCTGGTAAATACTGTACATTTCATCCAAGTTGTAACATACAACAAGAGCATCTGACATCCTGAACAGTACCTGCGGATTGCTACAGTCATGGCTTCAGCAGACGTGGCGCACGGACAGATGGCCTCAGGCTTCAGTCCATGGCTTTGGAACAGACTCAGGAAGGCATCACAGGATGACACGGACCCTAAGGAGTTGGAACAGATCAACCCGAAGCTGAAATTGTGATTTTCATTACTGCAGGAAAATAGTAAAGAATAGAAAGTTGGCCGGGCGCGGTGGCTCAAGCCTGTAATCCCAGCACTTTGGGAGGCCGAGGCGGGTGGATCACGAGGTCAGGAGATCGAGACCATCCTGGCTAACATGGTGAAACCCCGTCTCTACTAAAAATACAAAAAACTAGCCGGGCGTGGTGGTGGGCGCCTGTAGTCCCAGCTACTCGGAGGCTGAGGCAGGAGAATGGCGTGAACCCGGGAGGCAGAGCTTGCAGTGAGCCAAGATCGCGCCACTGCACTCCAGCCTGGGCGACACAGCTAGACTCCGTCTCAAAAAAAAAAAAAAAAAACAACAAAAAACCACAATAATAGAAAGCTGACATACTTATTTCTCATGAGAACCCATATTGTATATTGTTAATTCCACACAAATATTTACTGTCCCTGTGAGATGGTTTGATATATTTCAAGGACAAATTAATGCTCATCCAATCCATAAAAGGTTACTGACACTATTTAAAGTTACACCTTGGAATAAGGGTGCTCCTATGAGACTGACAAATCAGTATCAGAGATAACACTGCAGGCAACATGCAGCCAGTTTATAATTTAGCAACTCTTCCTGAGGAACTGTCATAGGCAGTGCAATTTAATATTGGCTTAGCTCCACCTTCTATATGATATTAAGGTCAAGCCTATGTCTGTGTTTTAGACTATGATGATCAATGTGACTATGGACAAAAGTCCATTATGACAAATAGCGTAGTGCTCTACCTGATTCTACTGTGTGAAGGATCAGGATTTGCGGGCTTGTAGAGGAAAGCAGGTAACACAGGAATACCCAGTTACATGACAGAAAGAGGTTATACATGAATGAGCCAAAAAGAATGGTTTAAAAGCTTATAGATCCATCAAAAGATGAATGAGTAAATACAATGTGGTATAACTATATAATGGACGATTTCTTGGTAGTAACAAGGAATGCAGAAGTACTGACAGATACTACAACATGGATGAACGTTGAAAAACATGCTAAAAGAAGCCCATCACAAAGACCACATACTGTATGACTGCATTTACAAGAAATGTTCAGAAGAGGCAAATCTAGGGAGACAGGCAATCGATTAGCAGTCATCTAGGGCTGGGGGCAGGGGGAAAAATGGGGAGTGATTGATAATGGGTATGTGGTTTCTTTTTGGGTGATGAAAATGTTCTAAACTTAGATTGTAATGATGGTCGCACAACTCGTGAATATACCAAAACCACTGAATTACACACCTTAAATGAGTGAGTTTTTCAGTATGTGAATTACATCTTAGTACAGGGCAAAAACCCCTAATCTATCAAAACACAGGATATTCCCAGACCCACAGTGCAGAAATACTCACAGGGGTTAGCTCCATCAGTCACAATTAACATTCGGAGGGAACTCAAGCTCACGTCTCTTTGGTCCCGATGTGCCATCATAGCCCAGTGCAAGTCCCGACATTTTACTAAAGCTACCTTGGCTATAAATTCAAAAGGGATGAAGTTAACATACACAATAAATTTCGTACATATGTAATATACCATAATAAAGACATTTTTACTTATTTGGGGAATCAGGATATTTGCTTGGAGAAAATAAAAAAGGTTTCAAAGAGATCGTGCCAATAGCTCAGAGGCAGAAATTATCACATTTAGACAACTGACTGGACCTACAATTGTCTGTTCACTGAGACCCTCTAGGCAGGTCACAGTATCCCAGCCAAGGAAATTATGAATACCAAGACACTCAAATCTAATTCAAGGCTCGCATTTGGAAAAAATTCATCTCAATGCTTAAGACAGGACAACAGTGAGATGAACAGGTAAGGTACCTAATTCTGTAGTAACTGAACTCTACAGTTAAGGGACAGGGGCATAGAAATGTTTCTAACAAGGGCAATTTGAAATTCTCTGAAATCCCTGAAATCTTAATTCAAACAGTCACATAATTAAAGCTCAGATGCTGCGGGTGACTACCTTTGTGAGCATGTACTCTTTGGACCCAAGAGAGAGGACAGGTTTTCATAACAGAGTAGGGTACACTAATTGTGTGCATCTTATTCATTACATTCTGAAAAACAAAGAAATAAGAAGAGTAATCAATACAAAATACATACTTAGTATTTTAAAATTGAGCTGATATTTTGTTAGCAATTTGAATTATACAAGTAATACTCAAATACATGCTCTTTGAAAACAATCTTAAATATTAAATGTAAGATTGAAGTTCCTTTAACACCTACCCTCCAACCTGGTTCCCTCCTCTCCTCGTCAGAGATAATCAGTTACAAATTTGACAGATACCCTTCCAATCTTTTTTCAATGCATTTTCATAGACATTTGTTCCCATAGAAACATATAAGTATTTTTAAACATAAAAGGCATCATATTATATATATATCTGTAACTTGCTTTTTTCATTTAAATTGTTTTAGAGCTAAATCTACGCATATCAGTACAAGAGATCTACATAATTCTTTTTGAACTGCAGCACAGTATTCCATTGTTTGGCTACATCACAATTATTTAGGCATTTCCCTATTAATGACAATTTTTTGCTACTACAAAAAATGTTTCAAGAAGCACATTCCTACTCCCTTCCCTGGGCTTATGCAAGTATTTCCATATATGGATATGTAGCACTGCTGTCACATGGGATATGCTTTTTAAAAAAAGAGAGAGAGAGAGAGAGAGAGAGAGAGAGAGAGAGAGAGAGAGAGACAGGGCTTTCACTATGTTGCCCAGGTTGGCCTCCAATTCCTGAACTCAAGTGATTCTCTTGCCTCAGCCTCCAGGGTAGCTGGGACTGGTGTATGTACGTATGTATGTATGTATGTATGTATGTATGTATTTATTTATTTATTTATTTATCTGAGACAGAGTCTTGCTCTGTTGCCCAGACTGGAGTATAGTGGTGCGATCTCGGCTCACTGCAACCTCCACCTCCTGGGTTCAAACAATTCTCCTGCACAGCCTCCCGAGTAGCAGGGATTACAGTCATGCACCACCACATCCAGTTAATTTTTGTATTGTTAGTATAGTCGGGATTTCACCATGTTGGCGAGGCTGGTCTTGAACTGCTGACCTCAGGTAATTCGCCTGCCTAAGACTCCCACAGTGCTGCCGATTACAAGTCTGAGTCACAGTGCCCAGCTGTAGTATATGCTTTTAAAATGTTAACAGACTCTGCCAAACTGCCCTCCAACCCACTTAATGCTTTTATCATGTTCGTACTTGCCACATGCCACAAAGGGGTAGGTGGGCATCACAAAGCAAGAAATCAAAATGTCCCTGTTTCTTACGGGAGGTCCTGCCTACACCTGTTAATTTTTTTTTTGCTAGATAAAGCTGAAGGTGTTGAGGGGTCATGCAATTTAGGGTCTCTCCTGCCACTCCAATCAAGCATACCTGATACCCTGTCCCCAAAGAGACCCAGCCTGGTAGAATAACCAAGCCTTTGTATTTAGATTAGCCATTTTGCTCACTCTCTAATTTGCCCAAAGAAACCAAGATATCACTGCAAGACACTATTTTCTCTCTCCAAGTTTCTAGCTCTGGTGAGAAACTTTTGGTTTCAGGAAAAGACTGGTGTTTATAACTAATTCTTCACACATGTCCCTATCTTGCACTTGGTATCACAGAGAAGAGATTCTTCTTAACTCCTCAAAAGGATTTTTAACTTCTGATAAAGAAGAAAATGGGAAAGCTTTCAGAAAAGAGCTAGAAAGGAAACATAACGAAGATTCCGAGGGTTCTGGGTGAAAAGGGATCCACCTCCTCTTCCCTCATGATTCATTTCCCATGCTTTTCCAGCTCCTGCAGTATCAAGTAAGTGGGACTAGATGCTCTCTGAGGTCCTTTACAATTCAGGTAACCCTGTATTTTTTTTCTCTCTCCACCTATATGGCATGTTATATAAGGTAGTTTTGCCACTTGAAGTGTCCCCTCTCTCTACCTCTATATCCCCTTACAAAAATTTCTGTATGTCCAAAGCTTACCTATTTTTCAAAGTCCAACTCAGCTGTCACTTCTTCCATAAAAACTGCCTTGAAGCCCAGACCTGGAAGGAAGTCACCTTTTTTGTCTAACACCCATAGTATGCTACCTGTTCCTCTCTGATGGGAAGAAACCCCATCTACCTTGTTACTTTTCTTCAGTTGCAGCATGCAGCTTATGCATGGCAGTCATTCAAAACATTCTGTCCAATGGAAAGGTTATATAGTCTCTGGAAAATATTACTGACCTTTAGGGGACTTAAATTTCAAACAAGCACTGAGAGATGCTCCAGTTACACAGCATGCTGGCCTTATCTCAAGCACAATTTATACTAAGGGCCTTAAATCCGAGTAGCTTACCGCAAACATGCCGTGCCACAGCCCAGCATCCTTCTTAAAGTCTAAGACATTTACTATTGTTTCCCCTAAAATAGAAAAAATAGGAAGACAAAGAAATCATGTTTAGTGTTAAGTAGCAAAATCACGTCACTTGCCTCTCATAAACAACTGATTTGATGTTTGTTTGTTTGTTTTTTCTTTTAGATGGAGTCTTGCCTCTGTCACCCAGGCTGGAGTGCAGTGACGCGATCTCAGCTCACTGCAACCTCTGTCTCCCAGGTTCGAGCAATTCTCCTGCCTTAGCCTCCCAAATAGTTGGGATTACAGGCATACACCAGCATGCATGGCTAATTTTGTATTTTTAGTAAAGAGGGAGTTTCACCATGTTAGTCAGGCTGGTCTTGAACTCCTGACCTCAAGTGATCCTCCTGCTTCAGCCTCCCAATGTGCTGGGATTACAGGCATGAGCCACAGCGCCCAGACTGATCTGATGTTTTTAGAGAAATGACTAAGTTCTCAGGGGCTTTTTGAGGGTCTCCTGAAAAAGGGTAGAGGACTGCTCATAGGGTAATGTGGTTACAACAGAGACACGGAGTTAGAAACGTCTTGTGACTTAGGCATTTCTTCCAAGAGGTATTTTTTCCTAATTATGTAGAGAATACATGCTTATTTTAGAAACTTTGGAAGTTTGACAAATATAATTTAAATTTCCTAAAAGATACTTCCTAAAAAAAAAAAAGTTGGTGTATATACGTATATATCTCTAAACATTCTATCTATACACACACATATACTTCTAGGCATATTTACATATAGATAGATATGTTAGATATCTATATGTATCTATATGTAATGCAAAACTTGGTACCTAACTTGTTCCTACTTAATGATATATTGAAACAATTTCTCCATATCTTTAATATTCAAAAATAAAAATTTTAATGCCCCAGCCATTATATGAATGTATTATTACCTTTTTTTTTTTTCTTTTTTTTTTTTTTGAGACAATCTTGCTCTGTCACCCAGGCTAGAGTACAGAGGCATGATTTCGGCACACTGCAACCTCTGCCTCCAGGGTGCAAGTGACTCTCCTGCCTCAGCCTCCCAAGTAGCTGGGACTACAGGCACAAGCCACCACACCTGGCTCATTTTGTTATTTTTAGTAGAGATGGAGTTTCACCATGTTGGCCAGGCTGGTCTTGAACTCTTGACCTCAGGTGATCTATCCGCCTCGGCCTCCTGAAGTGTTGGGATTACAGGCGTGAGCCACAATGCCTGGCCTGGATATATTATAACCTAATCAATCCTTATTTAAGGGCTTTTTGATTGCTTCCATTATATACATATATTTAATTTCATGATAGAACAACATTGTTGTCTGGTTAAAAAATACATCATGACCATTTACTGTTTCATTTTACAAAGGGAAAACACTAAAAAAATTAATATTGCAAAGAACATTCTGAGGCAAATAGTGGTTTTTGCAATATGTATTAACCTATCTAAAGTTCAAAAATATCGAATACATTTTTGTGTTTTAATTTATGCTTTTTGGTAGCTGAATTTCTTTGACTCCAAATGTATAGCTGGTAGCCCACTACACAGGCAGGGGAAGATGGAGATACCTGACATTCAACAGCTAATAAAAACATGATTTTAATTAGGGTTTTCTATTGCTATACTCTAGAAATTATGCTTTACATTTTGGTTTGCCAGAATTTTGGTTCCTTTAAACTATAGCATATTTTTGAGAAAGAAGAAAACAAAAGCAAGCCAAGAATGTGTCTTGGGACACTTCACTCTGAATTTGGTCATTAAATGAGGTCCAGTCACTGAGCATTGTGACTGGTCCAGTCACTGAGCATATGTGCTCACAGTCACATATCTCTGAAGGTAACAATGAAGGCAGTCATGGGATGAGGTCTGACCTTCAGAATAATTGCAGGCCTGCGACAGAGCTTGGCAGTGAGACAACATTGCAAGCCGGGACACTGTAACTCCCATTACACTCCCTTCTTTGCTTGTTTTATACTAGAAAACAAAAACAGAAACATAAGAAACACAATAAAATGGGTTATTTCAAATGACAAAACTAGAATCCAAAAACGAAAGCCAGAAAAACCATCATAATGGGCTGAATTTAACACGTTTAATATGAATATTTAAGGCAATGTACTTGGGTCCCAAACTCAAATCACACAAAGATAGGATTGGAGGATGACAAAGCTCAACAGAAGTACGTGTGTAAAAGACTTCAAAATTTAATAGTCATCGGTGTGAAGTGGTTGCTCAAAAGCTAAAACAAACAAGTGATTGGAGCTAAATTAATAGAAACACAGTATCAAATAAATACAAGTCAAGCACAGCACTGAAGAGTGAAAGGTATGTAAGACGTGGTCTCTGTGTATTAGAAGCACCCAATTTTGTAAAGAAGAACTAGAAACGAATGGCCTATTTGCTCCTCCAAATCGTTCAACTATAATTTTGCTTTTACCCTTAATGTTCCATTCAAGTTGCTTTTTACCAGGACTATCAACTTTCCTTCCTTTCTTTCTTTTAAGAGATGGAGTCTCACCATGTTGCCCAGGCTGGATTGGAACTCCTGGGCTCAAGCAATCCTCCCAGCTCAGCCTCCTGAGTAGCTGGAACTATAGGCGTATGCCACTGTGCCCAGTTCAACTTTAAAAAAAAGTTAAGTCTTGCCAAGGGCAATAGTGAGAAGGGGAAAAAGAGTAGAACAGGAGTTTGATCTGTACCTGACTGTGAACAATCAATGCAGATAATTCACTACCTTGGGACCAGCCCCAATTTTTTAATGGTTAAATGCAAAGGACATTTTGCATACCTTATCGAACCTTTCTGCAAAATTTGACTACTCTCCTTCTTGATGTTTTCTCCTTCCTTGGCTTTTTTGATACTCCTCTTTTCTAGTCTGTCTCTGTGTGTCTGTCTCTCTCCCATTGCTCCTCCACGTTTTCCGCCCATCTCTTCAATGTGCTGTTCCCTGAGAGTTCTGCTCTCCTTCCTCATCTCTTTTCACTTTGTTCCATTAGGTTACTGCATTCCTAGTAACTGCGAGTTCTCTACCCAGGCCTCTCCTCCAGAGACATCCAGACTGACAGAGTCAACTAATCCCCTGGAATGTCTAGTAATCCTGGGAAACCCATATATCCATCACTGCCTTCTTTACCCCAGTCCCTGCCCATGGAAACTCTTCCTGTTGTATTTTCTATCTTCGGGAAGGATGCTGCCATCAATCCAAGTTGCCTAAGTGAGAAACCGGAGTCTGTCTTGCCTTCTCCCTCTCCAGCATCAGCAACTAAGCCCTGCCTGCTCTATTTCCTTACTATCTGAAGCTCAATCTACTTTGCTCTCTGCTCTCTACCATAAGCTTGAGCTCACCTGAATAACTGTAAAGCTGGTCTCCTTTTTTTTCTTTTTGACACAGAGTCTCACTCAGGCTGGAATGCAGTGGTATGATCATGGCTCACTGCAGCCTTGAGCTCCCAGGTTCAGCCTCCCAAGTAGCTGGGACTATAGGCATGTGCCACCACACCTGGGTAATTTTTGCATTTTTTGTAGAGACAGAGTTTCACCATGTTGCCCAGGCTGGTCTTGAACTCCTGAGCGCAAGTGATCCGCCTGCCTAAGCCTCCCAAAGTGTTAGGATAATAGGGAAGAGCCACTGCGCCCAGCCCTTATTTCCTTTCTTAACCCAACCAATCCAGATATAACTTCTTATAATAAATTCATTGTTGTCACTCTCCTGCTGACAATCCTTTAATAACTCCCTATTACCCAGAGATGCTTTAAACTCACTAGTAGAGTCCTTTGGGCAATAGGAGGATCCCAAGTAAAAACTGCAAGTTAATTCAAAATAACAGGCACCTAGAAAGACAGAGGGTAGTAGTTCTAATAAGGCCAGAGAGCTAAGCAAGAGCCATACAATGAAGGACCCTCCACCTTTAGGAAGAACCAATAAAGATGACTGAAGGAATGGCTAACGAGGCAGAGGAACTGAGGAGTCCAAGAAGCCAGTGACCGGAGTTTTAAGGAGGACCGAGTGATGAACCATGTCATCACTGAGACATGACATAGATTGAGAGTTGATCACTAAATTTGGTATTTTTAATTGCTTGTCTTTTTTTCTGTGAGACAGAATCATGCTGTGTCATCCAGGATAGGGTGCAGTGGCATGAACACAGCTCACTGTCGCCTCAACCTCCTGGGCTCAAGTGATCCTCCCATCTTAGACTCCTAAGTAGCTGGGACTACAGGTGCATACCACCAGGCCCAGCTAATTTTTTACTTTTTGCAGAGACAGAGTCTTACTATATTACTCAGGTTAGTCTTGAACTCCTGAGCTCAAGCAATCCACCTGCCTCATCTTCCCAAAGTACTGAGATTAAAGGCATAAGCCATCTTACCTGGCCTATCTGTCTGTCTTTTAAAGATACTCAGATCTCTTCCATCTTTAAAAACAATCATCCTTGCATCCAATAATACCCCATCACCTCTCAGAGCTACTGGTCACTCTCTTCCTTTTCTTTGCAGTCCTCCTATTTGGCCTTCCAAAGTGCTGGGATTACAGACAGATGTGAACCATTGCATCCAGTCTCTCTAGTTCAGTGGTGTGATCTCAGCTCACTGCAACCTCCGCATCCTGGGTTCAAGTGATCCTCCCGCCTCAGTCTCCCAATGAGCTGGGACTATAGACTTGCACCATCATGCCCAGGTAATTTTTTTTATTTTTAGTAGAGATGGAGTTTCACTATGTTGGCCAGTATGGTCTCGAACTCCCAACCTCAGGAGCACCCACTTCAGCCTCCAAAAGTGCCAGGATTACAGGCGTGAACCACTGTGTCTCGTCCCAGCCTCTCTTTTCTACTTTTTTGTTTTTTTAAATTTTACTTTAAGTTCTGGGATACATGTGCAGAACGTGTAGGTAAGTTACATAGGTATGTGTGCCATGGTGATTTGCTGCACCTATCAACTCGTCGTCTAGGTTTTAAGACCCGCATGCATTAGGTATTTGTCCTAATAATCTCCCTCCCTTTGCCCCCCACCCCTTGACAAGTCCCAGTGTGTGATGTTCCCTTCCCTGCGTCCATGTGTTCCTATTGTTCAACTCCCACTTATGAGTGAGAACATGCGGTGTTTGGTTTTCTGTTCCTGTGTTAGTTTGCTGAGAATGATGGCTTCCAGCTTCATCTATGTCCCTGCAAAGGGCACGAACTCATTCTCCCAGCCTCTCTTTTCTATAGTCAAAATTATTTAAGTTCTCTCTACTTGGTATCATCACAGTGTTCAACGTTAGATGATTTTCCCCCAAATCTTGAAAAACAAATTTATTGATTTGCCTGTTCATTAACTTAACAATTGGTGAGCATATGTCTCAGGCAGGATGCAGAGTGGTGAAGGCTACGGCTTTTAGAGTTAGACCTGACTGTTGAGTCTACCTCTGCCATTTTTGAGTCATGTGGCCTTTGGTCAGCTACTGACGTTCTTTTAAGTCTTAGTCTCCTCATCTATAAAGCAAGTTTAATAATAATCCAAACCTCATAGGGTACTTGTGAGGACTAAATGAGAAAATGCATTTAAAGCATTCAGCCTGGTACCTGGTGTGCACTTGGATTTGCTTAATCCTTCAATGGGATCATGTTGCCAACTGCATTCCTACACCAACCTCAGTATCAAACCTTCCAGCCATTTGTTTCTTCTTGCTCTTTATCTTTCATCTACTAATCTGTTCTTTTAAGCAGAGCTATTTTCCCTTCTCATTTCTCCGTTCTCTTATCCCCAACCTCTCTAAATAAGCAGCAGAGAAATTTCTCTGCCAGTACATCATTTCCTAAACGTCTGTACTTCCCTAAAGTCTTCCGTAACTTTCTTACATGAAGAATCATTTTTTTTTTTGCTGTCATTTTCTTGAATGTATATTTATGATCAAAATAATTAAGATAGAAGATCTACTACAAGGCACTTTACAAGCCAAAAGATGGAAATCTCACAAAGCAGGAGGATCTTCTAACATTAACATTGCAAAAATTTAGTTTTATATTTTGAAAGGCAGCAAGTGAAGCCAAAGGAAAAGCCTGAAAGCGTATTTTACATCTTAGGACTTACCTCAATGTACGCCGGTTCTGTCCCAGCAGGTGAGATGTGTGGCTGCCAGTCTTTCGGGGGCTTTGAAAGGTACTTGGAATCTGTTACAACCCATTTGAGCCGGGGCCAACCTAAATCAAACCCAAAGTGAAAACTGAATTACCTAAGCCATCAGGGAAGGAATTCACACTGAACTGGTCATTTTAAATATCAAGAGACCAAATTAAGATCATTTTATAATCAATAACATACTTAGTTTTTATTAGTTTTTAGTGGGAAATCACCAGACAATTATACCTTCTTTCAAAAGTACAATCGTTCCACATGCTAATTCCAGGCCTTGACATTACCTCAACAACTGGGAGGTCCATTTGGCAGTGGAAGTCCACTGAGGTTAGTGGTCTATCCTCTGTCTCTACATGTAGCATTTAGCTTTAATGTACAGAGTGGTAGCTTTTTTCAACCATCGGCATAAAGGTTAAGGGTGTGGGCTGTGGAATCAGACAGATCTGGGTTCAAATTGCTGCTCTGTCATTTATTAGCTGTGACTCTGGGCAAGTTATTTAACCTCTCTGTTTCTCAGTTTCCTACTTGTAAAATGGGGATAATAGTGGTACCTACTTCATAAGAACATGAGAACTAAATAGAACCTACATGTAAAGTACCTAGCTATTACTAAATTAAAAAGCTAATTAAAGCACTCAGTTTTAACTTTTAACTGATAATTCAGGTACAATATTACTAACCTTTAAACTGTACAATTTCTCCATTCTGGGTTTTTGGCAGTCCTTTTAGACAAACTTCACTGGTAAGAGCTAAGGCAATACCACAGCTTCCTAGCAAGAAGCCAATCTGCTGACCTCCAGCATCCTGTGGAGAAATGATAATGAACATAGGTAGGGAAGCAAATGTGAGTACACTCATGCCAACATCTTACACTTAGTAATGCTCTGGCACTTTGTGTGTGTGATAACATTCATGGAGCCCCACCAATATCTGGCAATTGTCAAAATCCAATGACAATGTGTTCTTCCAAATAATTTCTACAATACAAACATTTCCTGAGCACAAATCAAGTATTAACCAGACATTACTAATGATACATCTTATCAGACAAATGTAACCATTTTATTAAAGAATCAGCAACGATCCTCTTTTAGTTTCCAGCAAATTAAATAAATGCTAACATGGCTATCTTCCCCTAGCCTCACCCCAAAATTCAAGAGAAAAGCAAGTCAGGTATGAACAAAATAATGTAAACAGATACTAAATGTCCAAGCTGACAATGAAAGTTAATGGATGGATGTACCAAATCCGTATACTCCTTTTGTTTTTCTGTATTAAAGGGGATAGATTTAAGCCTTACACAACAACAGCAGCAAAAACAACAAAAGATATAGTCTAAAACATTTCCATTAAAATATCGTCTTACAAGTATCATTATGAAACCACACAAATTCTGCCAACTTAATAATTTAAGAACAACCATATGATTTCCTGATCAAATTAAGGATACTACATCCCAACAACTATAGTTCTGGGGATGTTATCAATTTGTTTTTTATTCCTTTCAGAAATGCTTTTTCTTTTCTTTCTTTTCTTTCTTTTTTTTTTTTTTGAGATGGAGCCCCTCTCTATCACCCAAGAAGCTGGAGTGCAGTGGCATGATCTCGGCTCACTACAACCTCCACCTCCTGGGTTCAGGCTATTCTCCTGTTTCAACCTCCCAAGTAGCTGGGACTATAGGAGTGCACCACCATGCCTGGCTAATTTTTGTATTTTTAGTAGAGATGGGGTTTCATCATGTTGGCCAGGCTGGTTTTGAACTCCTGACCTCAAGTGATCCACCCGCCTCGGCCACCCAAAGTGCTAGGATTACAGGCAAAAGCTACCGCGGCCTGGCTGATTTCTTCTTTTATTTTTTTGAGACAAGATCTTGCTTTGTCAGGCACAATCTCGACTCACTGCAAACTCCGCCTCCCAGGTTCAAGCGATTCTCTGGCCTCAGCCTCCTGAGTAGCTGGGATCACAGGCTTGTGCCATCACAGCTGGATAATTTCTGTATTTTTAGTAGAGATGGGGTTCCACCATGTTGGCCAGGTTGGTCTCAAACTCCTGACCTCAGGTGATCCACCCACTTCGGCCTCCCAAAGTGTTGGGATTACAGGTGTGAGCCACCGCACCTGGCCAATTTCTATTTATAAATCCACATCCTCCACCATATTCATCTTTGACATCAGCCCTCAGAAATAAACTGCATGACAAAATTAGCATCAAGTGGCTCATGGAGAAATCACTCAAACATGGAAATCTGTTACATATGCTTCATTTTAGTTGGGCTGATTTATTGTCAAAGTAAAATCTTACAATCCAGAGAAGTAACACGTCATCACACCATCACTTTCCACCTAAAGGAAATCCTAGGTCATATGATACAGTTAGAGGAAATCTCTTTACAAAAAGGTCTCAACTACTATAAATGTGGATTATCTATAGCCTCTGAGGCAAAAGTGGGATTCTTTATAAATGATCAGTGTTGAAAGTCAAGTATGCCCCCATGATATTTTATTTTATATCTGAAACACAGTCTTGCTTGCCCTGTTGCCTAGGCTAGGGTGCAGTGGCGTGATCACAGGTCACTACAGCCTCAATCTCTTGGGTTCAATCAATCCTCTCACCTCAGCTTCTCAAATAGCTGGGACTACAGGTGCACACCGCCATGCCTGGCTAGTTTTTTATTATTTGTAGAGATGGGGTCTCCCTATGTTGCCCAGGCTGGTCTCGATCTCCTGGGCTCAAGCAACCTGCCCACCTCAACCTCCCAAAGTGCTAGGATTACAGGTGTGAGTCACCATGTCTAGTCGCCCCAGTGATATTTATTTATTTGTTTGTTTGTTTGCTCATTTGTTTGTTATTTAGACGGAGTCTTGCTCTGTCGCCCAGGCTGGAGTGCAATGGCGTGATCTCAGCTCACTGCAAGCTCCACCTCCTGGGTTCATGCCATTCTCCTGCCTCAGCCTCCCGAGTAGCTGGGACTACAGGCGCCCGCCACCTCGCCCAGCTAGTTTTTTGTATTTTTAGTAGAGATAGCATTTCACCTGGTTAGCCAGGATGGTCTTGATCTCCTGACCCCGTGATCCACCCGCCACAGCCTCCCAAAGTGCTGGGATTACAGGCATGAGCCACTGTGCCCAGCCTCACCCCAGTGGTATTTTAAATGATATACAATACTATACAAATTCTATCTTAATTGAAAATATGTTATTTGCATAAAACTTGTAAATATTTAATAAATACTTTTTCTACAAATTTCATGTTTTTAGAAAGTGAAGCTGAGTACTTCCAAAAATGGTCGAAGAGTTTTTAATGTTGTGATTGCATCTATCCAAGAACCCAATGCCTGCCATGTCACATCAGGCTACATTCCTCTTAAATTTAGCAATGTTACCTTTCTGGTAAGAGGTACCTCTATAGGCACTGGAATCACTTCTGCCAGGAGGCATCCATAAAAAGCCACCATAAACATGACTGGATCATTGTTGGGGTAAACCAGGGCTACCTAAAATTCATAATGACATTCAGTTTAACAGAGGAATAAAACCATACTAATGCTTTCAATGTCACTGTCTAAGTATATAATATTTATCATGAACACAATAAATCAAACTATTTAACAGCCATCTGCTCGAAAGGAAATTAAGTTACTGAGATAGAGACACACATCTAAAAAGATCTCCGACGTGCCCATGATTATACTACACACTTTGTGTACTATACTATAATGCATTCATCCTCATCCTCATCACAATTTTTCACTTAATCCTTTTGGTGATTTAGCAAAAAACAAACCATCTTAAGCATTAAGTTAATTAGGAAACCCAAGGCAATTTACTTTAGTGTAGGGCTAAGGCAATAAAATAAATGTAATGGATCTCTCCAGATAGAACAGCATATTAAAGAATAAACCTTACATCTCTGGAGAGAGCCTACAACTGTGGATTGACTTGATCACCATGTTAGGGCCAACAGCAGTTTTCTTACTCTTTTTTTTTTTCTTAGACGGAGTCTCACTCTGTTGCCCAGGCTGGAGTGCAGTGGTGCGATCCCGGCTCACTGCAAGCTCCGCCTCCCTGTTTCACACCATTCTCCTGCCTCAGTCTCCCGAGTAGCTGAGACTACAGGTGCCCGCCACCATATTTGGCTATTTTAAAATATTTTTAGTAGAGATGGGGTTTCACCACGTTAGCCAGGATGGTCTCGATTGATCTCCTGACTTCGTGATCTGCCCGCCTCAGCCTCCCAAAGTGCTGGGATTACAGGTGTGAGCCACCGCGCCCGACCAGTTTTCTTACTCTCTAATTCACTGTATTAATCCTTGTTCCCTTACCCAACAATGCAAATGTTTCTAGCAGGAGGGCATTTGGTAATAGGTGTAAGCAATACTGGCAGAAATCGTATGGATATACAGTTAATTCATTAATAGAACATAAACCGTGAAACCTCTATAATAAGTTCAAACCTGTGATCTCACCTGTAACACATCACAGAGATAAGTGACTTTTCCTAATTCACTCCAGGAATGCAAAAACACAAAAGTCACTACCACTGCGGAGTTTGTTACTTGGCTTGGATACTCACAGATTAACATTTGAAACTTAATTACATCATAAGACTTGTTTACCCCTTTTTTTTTTTTTTTTTTTTTGAGACGGAGTCTCGCTCTGTCGCCCAGGCTGGAGTGCGGTGGCGCGATCTCCACTCACTGCAAGCTCCGCCTCCCGGGTTCACGCCATTCTCCTGCCTCAGCCTCCCCTGTGGCTGGGACTACAGGAGCCCGCCACCGTGCCCGGCTAATTTTTGTATTTTTAGTAGAGACGGGGTTTCACCGTGTTAGTCAGGATGGTCTCAATCTCCTGACCTCGTGATCTGCCCATCTCGGCCTCCCAAAGTGCTGGGATTACAGGCGTGAGCCACCGCGCCCGGCTGTTTCCCCTTCTTTTGCTTTCAAATACTCTTAACTCACTCCCAAGAGAAGTTCGCTTTTGAACTTTTGAATTTTCCTAGGGTTCTGGAAAATTAATTCCACAAGACATTTAAACAACCCATTTCCTTCCTGCACAGTGTCCATGTTGCTAGGGAGACACAAAATCATCCGCTTAGGGTTCAGGAGGACAAGGAAACACTCGTGTGTCACATTTATAAGTAAAAGTCATGCTTTATGTGCCCTTTGTCACAATGCAAAAGTATTTTCAACAGGCTTAGTTTAGGAGATTCCATAATCATAAGCCCAATCAAAATAAGTCTATTGTGTAGCTGGTGTTTCATTCTATGAATTCCAAATGAAAAGTAATGGTAAAAAGTAATCATGTTTGGAAAGGCATTAATAGGAAAAATATCTTCAAAAATTAAAAAAACAGTTTAATGTCCCCTCAAATTAAAGGAGAAATAAAACTATGTCAATTAGTTTTTTCTTTTCTTTTTTTTTTTCTTTTCGAGACAGAGACTCACTCTGCCACCCAGGCTGGAGTTCAGTGGCGCGATCTCGGCTCACTGCAAGCTCTGCCTCCAGGGTTCACGCCATTCTTCTGCCTCAGCCTCCCGAGTAGCTGGGACTACAGGCGCCCGCCACCATGCCCAGCTAATTTTTTGTATTTTTAGTAGAGACAGGGTTTCACCGTGTTAGCCAGGATGGTCTCGATCTCCTAACCTGGTGATCTGCCCACCTTGGCCTCCCAAAGTGCTAGGATTACAGGCGTGAGCCACTGTGCCCGGCCCAATTAGTTTTTTCTTAAAAGTAACATGAATCTTCCTCTCTTTTTACATAAAACCACAGAAAAATGTTTTAAAAGATGTATGAGGCTTTGTTGTTGTTGTTGTTGTTAGGGTCTCACTCTGTTGCCCACACAAATGCAGTGGCAAGATCATGGCTCACTGCTGCCTTGAACTCCTGGGCTCAAGCAATCCTCCCACCTTAACCTCCCGAGCAGCTGGGACTACAGGTGCATGCCACCACGCCCAGCTAATTTTTTTAAAAATTTGTTTGTAGAGATGGGGTCTCACTATGTTGCCCAGGCCAGTCTAAAACTCCTGGCTTCAAGTGATCCTCCCACCTCATGTCCCAGAGTGCTGGGATTACAGGTGTGAACCACTGCACCCAGTCCGTGTTTGAGGCATTTTGTAAAGAGGAGGAAAAATAAAAACAAAAAAATCAAAGAGCAAATTTTGTTGCTGTTTTCTTGTTGTCTAAAGATTCAAGTATTTATTTCTGGAAAGACTAAGGTTTCTCTTTCTTTTTATTAGCACCTAAAGAGACTACTGACTGGCAGCTACAGGAAAGGACATGTGAATTTCCTTCAACCCAGGAATATGAGAATTGGGGTAACCTGGGTTGGAACCAAACCACTTTTATTTTTCCAAAAATAAGAGTTATATAAGTTTTCCTGTTGTATATTAAAACTCCAGAATATTAGAATATTAGCATATTAGAAAACAGTAAACACCACCTCCCTAAAACCAAAATGCCAATTACCCTGTCTCCAGGTTTTAACACAGGTTCATTTTTGGTCCCCAGTTTATTAAGAAGTGTGTAGGCCAACTTTAAACTTCTGCTCCACAACTTTCCTGAAAAAAAAGAAAAAAAAAAAGTCTTACAGAAAAAAACAAAACAGGTCTACCTCAATGAAACAACATTCAGACCATCAGTATAGTCAATGAGACAATGGTCACTACCAAATGATGGGTTAGATGAGTATCATTCACCTCCCAACACACAGTAGGCCTCCCCACAAAAGCTTTATATTCATTCTAGTTTACAAAAGCCAGTCATGCCTTGAAACAGAAATAAAACATCACCAGATGCTCATCCTGGTTTACATAATATTTCAAATTCTTTTCTGAAATAATCTGCATATCCTTAGAAATAATTTGATGTAAACTGATCACACTGAAAGGGAGGAAAACAATATTTTTAATTACAAGACTGAAAATCAGAAGGATACTTCTGTTCTAAGCTTTTTTTTTTTTTTTTTTTTTTTACAAACAAACAAAAAAAAGACAGAGTCTCGCTCTGTTGCCCAGGCTGAAGTGCAGTGGTGTGATCTCGGCTCACTGCAACCTCTGTCTCCCGGGTTAGAGTAATTCTCGCTTCAGCCTCCCAAGTAGCTGGGACTACAGGTGCGTGTCACCACATTTGGCTCATTTTTGTATTTTTAATAGAGACAGGGTTTTGCCATGTTGTCTGGGCTGGTCTCAAATTCCTGGCCTCAGGTGATCCACCTGTCTCAGCCTCCCAAAGTGTTGGGATTACAGGCATGAGCCACCGTGCCCGGCCAGCTTTTTTAAAAATTTACAAATATCTTCAGAAATGTTCTAAGCTTTTTCTGAAAAACCATTCACATAGGTGGTATCAGACACTTGAGGAAACTGCAAAGCAAAAGCATGACTCAAATGACTGAACATTCCATAATGCTGTAATTTAGTGAAAACAAACACTAAAATGGAAATTATCTGTATGAACATGTGGCTGTATTCATAGATGTTAAACAAACATACAAAGATTTGGCCAGCTAAACGCTTTCTTTAAGGGTTATATGAATGAAATGTATATATAGCTTCTGAGGTGAATGTTAAAACAATTTTGGCAAAAACAAAAAATGCTTTTCTTTTCCTATTCCCTCCCCTCCACTACCCTTAGAAATTCTTATTTTAGATTATGAGATAAGCAAAAGGAAAATTATGTTATTTTAAATAGCTATGTTATTTTATATACAATTTATTCAGAGGGGCATCCAAAGTTTAAACTATGTCAACCTGTGTAATTCTTTAAATAAAACCTTGTTTTTCCTCAAAGATTATTTTCTATCTAGGTCTATGGACACTGTGCTCCACTTGCAAAGGAGAAAAGGAATCTGTTTGAATAAACTAGTACAAAATCTCATAGCCCAGGGTTGACCCCATTTTTCCTTGAAGTTATTTTAAAAAGAAAAATTTTAGCTGGTATGCAAAATTAAATGGAAAAGTACTCATTCTTTGTTCATTACAGAATTTTGTGCCTATTGTAATCAAGAAGCAGGATAGAATAAAGATTTAACAAGTAATCAGTTTCAATTGTTAGATAAAACCATCTGATTTTCACCATACATCATTAATACTGACCAAATGTTTTTCTAAAATCCTCTTGTAATGTTAAAACATCTATGGATGTACAAAGTCTCTCTTCTTTTTGCTGCCTTTTAAATATTAGCTGACTTGCAAATATCGCTTTAGCAAATGAAAATATTTGGCAATAGCTTTACTTAGAACTTGGGATCCTTTTAAATTATTGAAAAAAATCTACTGAAACATAATGGCCAGCAACTGCTAAGTATCTAGATAAAAACGCTACCCATGATATTCTGAAGAACTCTCGGAGAGAAGGATCTGGAATCTTGCAGACTCACCATATGTAAGAGTGTAAACTGGTTTCCCTGTCATGTCCAGTGCAGTCAGACAGGAGCATTTTGCTTGAGTGGTACCCCAGCGCTGCAGGGCAGATTCAAGAGCAGGAGGCCAGTTACAGATGACTCCTAAAGGCTCTCCTTTCACAGGGGTCATCTGCCGTCCCTCCGGCTTGGGCTGGTTGGGGTCTGGCTGAGGTACTGCACCAGGAAAAGACCAGTGGGTGAAATGAGTACAAATACCAGTGAACACAACTTAGGTCTCTAATCTCAACTGCATCTTCCTTTTCATTTCATATTTATCTGGTTTAAACTCACTTTGAGAAAGGACATGGTTAGAAATGGTGGTCCACAAACTGGGCCTTAATTCAATTTTCCACTTAAATGTGAAATCATATTCAATATATTCTATGCAATGAACAAATCCTGACCCTGACAAAGGAAATCACTGCATATATAGAATAGCACAAAATATACATTTTTTGTAGCAATTTCACAATTTTTGGCAAATTTGTTTTTAAATCTTTACAGTTTGTGTCCAGTGTGAGACAGCCAGGTTCTACTATACCAGATTATGTTTAATGAGAAAGCATTACACTGTGAGTCAGAAAGCCCAAGTTTACATTGACTTTTTACTAGCATTACCCTAGGCAAATTGATTTACCTGAGCTTGGCTTTCCTCATCTGTAAAATGGAGATAGTAACAGTTATACCTCAGGGTCATTACTTCACTCCAACAGGTAATGGGCATAAACCACAATATCCCATGTCTCCACACCTCTGCACTCATCTCGTATGGCCAATCCCTTTGCCTCCTGGTGAACTCTTCCTCATCATTTTCAGGACTCGGCTGAAACAGCACATTCTCTGGGAACAATTCCCAACTACTCCCTGAGGAGACTATTGCTTCCTTAGTGCTCCCACGTTGCCCTTAGGAAAGCACTGAGGATCCTCAAGGACTCCTTTTAGTGTGCAAGTTTTCCCCCACAAAGGCTGATGGCTTCTTGAGGAAAGGGGTGGCTCTTACTCCCCTTACTGCCTATAGTGTCTAATACTTCAAGGTTGTTCAAAAATGTCAGCTGAATTGAATTTGGGTGTGTGTTTAGGGGGGAGCTAATTATTAACATGCTTATTCCAGAGATTGGGCGTGAATATTTCATATCCTTTTACAGATAAAACAAAAATCCTCTTAATTTTTCTAAAATGAACAAGCATTATTCAAACAATAAAAATCAAAAAAAGAATCCTACATTTTGTTTTCTCCCCGAGACAGAGTCTTGCTCTGTTGCCCAAGCTGGAGTGCAGAGGAGCAATCTTGGCTCACTGCAACCTCTGCCTCCTGGGTTCAAGCAATTCTCCTGCCTCAGTCTCCCAAGTAGCTGGGATTATAAGTGCCCGCCACCACGCCTGGCTACTTTTTGTATTTTTAGCAGACGGGGTTTCACCATGTTGGCCAGGCTGGTCTGGAACTCCTGACCTTAGGTGATCCACTCGCCTCGGCCTCCCAGAGTGCTGGGATTACAGGTGTGAGTCACTGCACCCGGTCAAATCCTGCATTTTCGTAGCAGGAAAGATAATTTACACATGCAACAAAAAGTCAAGTATTTACTGAGTGCCAATTATGTTCACAGGATATGATAAACATTGAGAAAATAAATGCTGCACACATAATTCTTTGAACAAACATTATGCCTAGTAAGTGCCTGGTGTAAGGAATATGGAATCTGAGTTCTTGTGGAGTATCTAGAGTGCACCAGGGGACACAAACACACAGACTCAGCGCTAAGGCTAGGAAAACATGAGCAGTGCGTGACAGACGCATGGACAAGGAGGGCAGAAGTGGGGCACGTCTCCACCTGGAGGAGGAAATGTCTGAGCTGAGTCTTAAAGGATGAGCAGGAATTAGCCAGGTGAACAAGAGAGGAGAAAAGAGGCACGAAAGGGAGAAGGGACAGAATGAGCAACAAATCTTAGATGGGCAAATGAAATATGAAATAAATGATATTTTATATAGCTCAATGACAAATCTGGGGATTGTACTTAAGATGCCTTGATTCATTTTTCTACTAACATAAAATTCATGAAATAGTTTCACTCCTCAATTTGCTGCCTTAGGGTAAATAATAAATGTTTCAACTGTCCTTCTGCTTTGTATATTCCCAGACCCTAAACCACCAGATTAACTAAAAAAAAAAAAAAAAAACGAGTGTTTCTAAATAAGTATTTTATTTGTTTGGCCAGACTATGTATAGAGTAGGCATTGTTTCTGGCCATGAAAGCTGACATTATCACCACTGTCCATTAGGCTTCAATGCAGATTCTGGGGCATGCTCTTTCAGATTTCCAAAGACATACTGGTATTTTTCTTTTCCAAATGTAACAATTACTCAAACAAGCAACTACTGCCTATTTATATTGGTAATTAATGGAAAGTTGTTAGTTCTAATCTGCCAATGCAATTTTTTCAGGTAAGATTCCTGTTAAACCCTGACCTTCATGTGCCTGGTCAATACCAATGCTAGAAACACTGGAGAGGCTTTTGCTGGCATGGGCATCTTGAACATCAGTACATCATGAAAGACATCCACCATTCAATGAGTTTAGTGATTCCTAAAGAAACATATACTCATCTTAACCTCATATGTCAGGTTGCTTTCTGTGGCATAAATTGGGCTAAGACCAGATCTAGTCTACCAATGTACCTAATTCTATTAACAAGCTGATGTGATCAAAATCTATTACTATTAGTCTCAGGACATAAAAACAGACTACAAAGCTACCAAGGCTTAGCTCTTTCAACAAAAGCTTTTCTTAGGTAGATCTATTTGTCTAGATCTATTGTCATCATTCTATACTTATCAAATGGCCATTCTCATTTTATCCATACTCACACCCATTCCCCTTCCCTATTAAATCCTAGATATATGATTTCATCCATAATTTAAAAATTACTGAATGAATAAATCACTGTTACACTTCTTCTGTGAAGCCTTTCCTAACCCAGATGGAACTGATTTCTTCCCTTCTCAGAAGTGCTTATATTGGCTGATAGATACTTAATACTTAGCTATTCACATGGATATATTTTAGCACCTGTCTAAACTGTAAACATGAAGGAAATAACTGTATTTTTATAAATCTTTGAAACTTTTCACCATCGAACACGCCGTCTTGTAGAAAGCAGAAATATATGTAGCGATTGGTTGATTCATAAAAGGACCACATTATATGAAAAAAAGAGTAGGCAAACTTTTGAGGTTGAATTTGATATCCACATCCAAGAAAATGCCAAATATAAATAACTCATAAAATCATGCATTTGGGATAGTTCCTAATTTCAAAGAGTTTATTTCCAAAGACAGTTATATGTTTCATGGTTATCTCTTTGCCTTTCTTCCCTCTTCCTCCCTCCCTCCTTCATTTTCATCTAAGATCTAAAATACAGATGATCATTAGGGAAAAAAGAGCAGAGAATGATTAACTCTTTGAACCAAGAATTGTGTCTTGTTCATTCTTTAATCCTATAGTACCTGACACATAGTAACTGCTTAAGATAAATTTATTTAATGAATATATGTTTTTGGTATTTTTACTACTACCTTCCACAATTTCTTCAGAGTCATCTACAAAAAATTCTTTTAAGGGAGGCCTTTTGGGTCGTTTCAGAGTGTTCAGAAGCTGCTGGATTTTTGTAGATACTCTGCTACTGACAGGAACACCTGTAAGGGAAAAAATGGTAAGTTAAAATTCGTTGACTGTAAGGATATTTTAGTTCCTCAGTTCCCTCAGGAGCTTTCATTTCTAAGGCCATTTGGCCTTTGTCCACAGTTTCCTTCTCTTTCGAGGAGACCAAATATGCACACAATAAGTTTTATGACAATAGAGAACAAATATGGTACTATTATTAATACATGGCTTAAGGATTTCACCTAATCTTCCTTTTCTGTTATTCTTTTTTTTTTTTTTTTTTTTTTGAGATGGAGTCTCACTCTGTCTCCCCAGGCTGGAGTGCAGTGGCATGATCTCTGCTCACTGCGAGCTCTGCCTAATTTTTTGTATTTTTAGTAGAGATGCGGTTTCACCACGTTAGCCAGGATGGTCTCGATCTCCTGACCTCACGATCCACCTGCCTCGGCCTCCCAAAGTGCTGGGATTACAGGCGTAAGCCACTGCGCCCGGCCCTCTGTTATTCTTTTCTTTTTCCACATTCCGGTTTTTGTTCAAAGTATCTTCTGGAAGTATCCACTAAGTTCGATTAAGTGGCAATACTGCCACTGTGCAGATGATGGAAAAAAGGTACCCAGGATTAGTTATTAGTGGGCCAAGTACAGTGTAGTTCTGCAACTGCTGGGCTAGTTAGGAGCTATTGTTCATAATTTGAATTTTTCTAGTTTAGTTTACACAACAATTGAGCTACCAAAAACAACTCCTTACCATCAGCTGTATCCATAAGGCTGGACCTGTTGGATCCTTTGTGCATGCCTTTAACTATCCCCGAGGGGGGCAGGTCAATGTTTGCTGGGCGAATTGAGGAAGATGAGGAGGAGGAAGAGGTAGTTGTAGTGACATCAGGAGGAGCAGAGAAATTCTCTGAGAGGAGTAAACAAAATTTAGACTTATATTAGCAGCAAAACTAAGAACCTTTAAATCTTTGGGGTTTTGTTTTTTAACAAGGAAGAAAAGTACATAAATGGGGGTACTGGCTCTTGTAAAACAACCTTTAAAAATCAGATTCTACTAGGAAGACACAAAGGGAGAACAATAAGTAAAGTCAGGGTATATCAGCTTTACAAAATTATTATTTTGTAAGACTTGAGTAGCCTTAGTAAGATCAAATCACACATTCAGTGTTTCTCAAAACATCATTTTCTACACAGAAAGGCTGGTAGAAATCCAGTGTTATAGAATAATCATAATAAAACTTGCAGGGACCTCAAAATGGAACCAAATAAGATCATAACTGGCTACTAATATTGTAGTCTCTTGAACATTTCTTGATGATAGTTTATCTAGAATGTTTCCCCTTCTACCAAAGACCAAACTCATATCTTGAAAGTGGGTCAGACTGCACAAGTTTCCAGATGAAAAAAAAACCTAGATAAAGTTCACTTTTAACTTTTATACAATAATCCATAGGTAATTTGGATCTCCTTGACAGACAAGGTTCTTCCCTTGCTCCAAGTAGAGACTAAATAGTGTTATTCTACTCTACTGCACATAGGGATTCTTTTTATTTTTGAGACAGGGTCTCTCACTGTTGCCCAGCCAGGAATGCAGTGGTGCAATCACAGCTCACTACAGCCTCAACCTCCTGGGCTCAAGTGAGCCTCCCACCTCAGCCTCCCAAGTACGGGGACCACAGGTTCACACCACCACACCCAGCTAATACTTGTATTTTTAGTAGAGATGGAGTCTTGCCATGCTGCCGAGGCTGGTCTCGAACTCCTGGGCTCAAGCGATCCTCCCACCAATGCCTCCCAAAGTGCTGGGATTACAGGCATGTGCCACCACACCAGGTCTCAAGATTCTTAATATGGAGAAACTGAATGATTTTTGTAAACTGGAAAAGATCCCTGTGCAACAGGGGCATGTAACAACAACAAAAAACACCACATAGTTTTTAGTGGCTTTTTGTGATTCTTGTAAGTCATATATTTTCCTCCCTCTAATTTCCTTCTTCTTACTTCTCCAGATGTTTTCTTCTAAGTTTTTTGTACAACTAAAAAAGGGAAAAAGCATAATATAAACAATTTCTAAAATAGATTTGGGGGTAAGGTCTCTATGCCCCTTAAGTCTATAATTACTAGTCGAATAGTCTTTAAAGTTTTAAGTATACTAACATATATTCTAGTATACCTTTCTGTAGGATAATGTGGTAACAAAAAGCATTAAAACAGACATTTTTATTTGGTCCAGCAATTCAAACTTATAGGAATACAACCTAAGGAAATAATCAGACAAATGCACAAAGTTGTGTGTTCCAGCATGTTCAATCCAACAGTTTTTATAACAGCAAAAAATTGGATACTATTTAATAGAGGAACAGCCAAATAAACCAGGGCAGACAGTCACACAATAGTGTATACTGAAACCATAAAAATAATAGTGTAATGGTAATGATATAAAAGATGTTCATCACATACTGCTAAGAAAAGCAGGCTATTAACATTATGTTTAGGACAGTTCATTTTTGTAAAGTCAAAACCAAAATCTTACATATGTAAGTAAAATCTAGAAGAATATACACTACAGTAACAACACTAAAGTATTACCCATGGGAGGTAGGATTATAGTTATTTTACTTTTCTTTTACTTATATTTTTGAATTTTTCTATTAGGAACATTAATTACTACTGTTAAGACAAACATCCAAAAAGCAATAATGTGGATAAAATGGTTTCTGTGAGTAACTGAACCAATCACTTTTCACAGAGTAGTAGAAGCAATTAAAAATATAAGGTTGGATGAAACCTCTTGTTAACAAAAATTCAGGTAAAAGTTAACTGGGTATTAGGATAATATATTTAACAAGTAATAATGGTCTTTTTTAGACAGATGTGGAAATAAAACCTCAGTAACCATGGCTCTGTTGCTCCACGACTGGAGAGGCGGTGAATACGCAAATCTTTGTAGCTGCTTCAGGAAGCTCAGGAAATGGCAGGGCAGGGCAGGGCAGGGCAGAGCTAAGCGTGCAGGACAAGTCATCAGCTGTTGGCATGTGGGTTTCTAAGGAGGGCAATCATACCCTCAAGGTAGCTATTTCTTTAAAAATTATAGTCTTGAATTGAAATTTTTCCAAGTCTTTCTTTTTTTAGAAATCAGTTAACAGAATAAAGATATATTAGGTGATACAGACAGGTCACTAAGATGAAAATTAAGACACCAAACTGCACTGATTGCCGAGAAAAAAAGGCAAAGATATCACAGACACATAATGTTAACACATATTACTTGATGTAATTTGTAACAACCAATTAAGCAAAAACAGATCTGAGCTGTACCTTTATCTGCAGATGTCACAACTCTTTAAAAAACACACACACACAAAACATAAAGCAGGAGCAAGCAAAAGCTACACTCTATACAGTAGCATCTGCAGTGTATCGATAGCAGCTCACAGGGTACCAATATCCTCAGCCTGCACACTTCAGTGTAGCAATATCACAGCAGCAAGGACAACAAATCCAGTCAAGACAAAAGGCCTCACTGATATTGGTTCAGCATAGATTTTGCTCAGGTTTAGTGTTTTTGGTTTAACAGAATATAGATAACAATCCTGGGAAAAATCTAAGATGTTACATATTTTAACCTTTGAATAGATTGAATATTGTTCAGCTGGGATAATTCCACACTGAGACTGGTGTTATATCTTGCAGCTTGAGTATTGCTTATGGAAATAGCTATGGCTTCAGGTGGGCAAAACTACGCACCAATAATCCAGGTGATACCTATTATTCCTGTGACAAATGTATTGCTGGTGTTTCCTTCTTTGCCTCATTAACTGTCATGTTCTCTCTAATTCTTTTTTTTAGGCCGTACTGAAAAACCTAACACAAACCATAAACTATTTCCTGGATACTGGGAGCCAAATGGAATGTAATTTAGACTTCTTGGGTAGATCCAGCTCCTACCTATTCGAGTATTGGCAAATACATCAGCTAGAGACCCACTGGTTCCTTTGACCTCTCCGTGGGACAGCGTAGAAGACGCGGATGAAGAAGTGGACGATCCCTGAATTGAACGGTTGATCCAGGACTCAGCATTCTGTAAGCTCTGTTGCAAGGCAGCAGAGAGCGCAGCTTGGCGTCTCAGAGAGCCCTCATCCTCAGAGGCCGAAGATGTGTCTGTGTGGAATTAGAAAAAAAGAAGTTCTCGATCCTACCTAGAACAGAGACTTTTCAGTTTTTGCTCATTGGTCACACATTCAGTTTCGACACCAGCAAAACATTCTCATTCTTAAGGTAGATTAATATGTAAAGTTTCTCAGGAATCTCAAGGAAACGTCTATGGACCAAAGCCTACAAAAATAAAATAGCCTAACCCCACAGGTAATTTTTAATTGTTTTCTTTTAAACTCTTTCAAAACATTTAAACTTCATTCCCTGCTTTTCTGCTGTAAGCTTAATCAGTATCTAAATTTTTCTAGTCCATCTACTTATGTTCAAATAATACTGAAGTACTTATATGTCTTCCTGAATCTCTACTTGTGATATGATGCTACATTGATTTTGACAAAGTATTTATTCGTCTCTAAGGAAATGATCTTGACAGGGAGACATAAAAACTTAATTCTTGCTAAAAATGTATGTCTCAGGTCGGGCATGGTGGCTCATGCCTGTAATCCCAGCACTTTGGGAGGCTGAGGCAGGCAGATCACCTGAGGTCAGGAGTTCGAGACCAGCCTGGCCAACAAGGTGAAACCCCATCTCTATTAAAAATACAAAAAATTAGCCAGGCACAGTGGTGAGTGCCTGTAATCCCAGCTACTTGGGAGGCTGAAGCAGGAGAATTGTTTGAACCTCGGAGGCAGAGGTTTCGGTGAGCCACGATTGCACCACCGCACTCTAGCCTGGGCAACAGAGCGAGACTCCATCTCAAAAACAAAAAACAAAAAACAAAAAACAAAAAACATATGTGCCAAACAGTGAGCTAGGTGCTGGGGAATGAAGTGGTGTAAACAATCCTTAGCCTGGAGGTATTCATGGCCTTAGTAGAAAAGGCAGCCAGTCAGGGGGCATAGGTAAGCTTTCCATGCATGACAGGAAAACGCACAGCATCAGGATTTCTTTCCTTAATTTTCAGCTGGAGAAGAATTGTGAGAAATCCACCGATGTCTGTATTCAGTTTGGCTCTGACTTCAGGAAAATAGGCCTAAATTAGAAAAGCGTGCGGGGGGATGGGAAACTCAACCAAATACAGGGAAGCAAAAGCCAGGGAAAACAGAAGTCAGGAATTTATTCCAGGGTTGTAAGCTTATGAAGCACACAGTTAAAGAGGGCATTTGGTCTAATGTGAGATAAATCTTTCTAAATGATTTCTGGGTGTTATGATTTACAATTTGTGGATTGAATTTCATTCAGTTTTTAAAAATTAAACATTCTGTGGTTAGTACTGCAGAATCCTTTCCTCTAACTCAGGTGACACCGTAGGTTCATGTTCTGCTTTGGTTCAAAGAGCCAAACACATAACTAATGGGGCTGGAAAACTGCTGACACCTCACAATGAGAACCTGAACCACAAAAAACTCATCTAATCCAGAAGTCAAATTCTGCAGGCGCAGAGCAAGAGAGAAAGTTAAAATAATGGGCTGGATGCAGTGGCTCAGGCCTGTAATCCCAGTACTTTGGGAGGCCAAGGTGGATGGATCACTTGAGGTCAGGAGTTCAAGACCAGCCTGGCCAACATGGTGAAACCCCCATCTTTACTAAAAATACAAAAATTAGCCGGGCATGGTGGTGTGCACCTGTAATCCCAGCTACTCGGGAGGCTAAAGCACACGAGAATCACTTGAGCCCAGGAGGCAGAGGTTGCAGTGAGTAGAGATAGCACCACTGCCCTACAGCCTGGGAGGCAGAGTGAGAGTCCATCTC